AATTATAGAAATTGATGAAATATATAGGAGTAGGCCCTTTTTTCATATTTAAAGAAGTTAGCATCAACAGTTTGAGATTCTAAGTAAAACTAAACCCATGAGATAAGATTGCAAAATAGTAGTAAATAGGAAGCTTCCTCCTATATAGTCCTTTTCAGTAATACTATCTCTGGTGCTAAATATAAGAGTTAATTAACTAATTTGAATAGATAAAGCAAATAAATTGAGTTAGTTATTTGTAATAACAAGGTATTATTTTTCCTAAAATATCCTTACTAATTAAGTTTATTAGTTAGAACTATCATTATTAAAAAGATTATATTGGAAAAAATGAATAAATATGAGAGACAAAATGAATTGAAAATCTTATATTTATGATTAAAATAAAAATCAAATGAGATCTTATATTAAGGACTAGAGATATTATTTTATTTTAAAAGTTGGAACATCAATTATATATTTTTCACATGCCATCAATATCAAATCATAAAATTTCGCTTCCAAATCACTTAAATCACAAATTTAACATTTTTAATTATTTTTATTGGTAAATGTGAATAAGTTAAAAATCTCTTATAATAAAGATTAGAGGGAGTGCTTTTTTTCATAACTATTTTGTCTTGTCTTTTTCCAATGATATAGAAAATTGTGTAAAGGGTAAATAATTAACATGATGAGTACAATAATTTTTAAAAAATAATTAATTTAACTAATTTTATAATTTATATGAAGTAATTGTCTACTATATTTAGACAGGAGAGAACATCATTCATTCTTCTTGTATAGTCTCCGGCCAAGGAAGCTAATCGATTATAAGGAAGAATCATTAATTAATACTCCTTCAGTATTTAATATAATACTTAATTATTGAGTTAAATTTGGTTCTAAATATTTGACGTAGTTGTTATATTCATCAGCTTTTCTAAATTACTCTTTTAGATATTTTCTTAATTATAATCAAACAAAAGAGGAGGAAGATTAAGAAAAAAAAGTCATATTTTTTATACTTATATTAATTAATTTATCTAATTTTTTAAATCTAATTAAATTGGTTAAATATGTCTTACATAAAAAATTGAAGGAAGGAAGGAGTATGTTTTTGCCATCATTCGTATATAATGCTAATAAATTAAATTACAAGAGACACTCATTAGTAAGACTGCAAATTACAAGTCACTAATCTTATTTGAGGTACGCACGTTCCATATACTGACATACTGCAAGTTCAGAAAGATACGACTCCATATTATATTACTTTCCAATATTTAGTAATCATTTGAACTCACAGAGCAGAACGTATATCACAAGAAATTTATAGAAAAAGTCACATGCAACATATTAATATGCCATTATCATGTTCTACCTCCCCTTTCCCAGTATTATTTAACGTTCTTTTGAGTAGACAGCACTAAATAATATCAACCCCACGTCTTACACAGTGCTACAGTCGCATCATTTCCTTCTATCATGTTATTATTACTGTTTTGGTTGTCAATTATAAGAGTTAGAAAAAAAATTTTATTTTAATTTTAAATATAAATTTTAATTCTTTTTTTTAAATATAAATTTTTTTTCAAAATATCCTGATGATTCATGGTAAAAAAAAATGTTCATTAAAAAATAGTTACAATACATGATTATAAATGATATATTAAAAAAAATTAATTTAACTAGTGTTTTAAATATACATATATAAATTAATTATCTAATTTTTATATTAAAAGTTAGAAAGAGTAACTTGGTGATCAAAACAAAAGGGCCGTGATTCCCAACCTGCTAAGGAGCCGAGGTGGCTGCCCACAAATAAATAAGCAGAACAGACGCCACGTTCTTCACAGTGTCACAGTCACATCCTGCACAGTTTAAAACCCCACCTACATACGTGCATGCTAATAATAATATTATTTTTATATTTAATATAAGATTTAATTGATTAATTTAAATTTAAAAAATTTATTAAATTACTTAATTTTAGCATATGTTATATATCTCTATAAAATATTTATATATATTATTAAATTATATATCAATTTATAAGTGAAGAAAATTAATTTAAAATAAATAAATACAGTTATTTTAAAGTAATTTAGTAATTTTTTTAATCTTTCTAAATTAGTCAGCTTAATCTTATATTAAAAACTAATAATAATAATAAAACCGATATGTACATATAGTGCCATAAAAGAGTGTACCAAACTTCATTAATTGAGATTTAAAACATATTAGCCTTCTTTACCCGAAAACCATATTCCCCTTCACTACTGTTGTTTTCATCCTGGAATCTCAAGCCTACTTTATGATATGATCTGCTTCTTATTTAATGAAGAACTGTCACCCTCATTATTTTTTGGAATCACAAAGGTATTTTTAAGTTGTATTCTAAATTTAAGATTAATCTTTTTGAGATTTAAAACATATTAAAGGATTTTCACTTTTCCTAACAAATACTACATTTTTCCATATGTGAATTTATGTTTTTTTTATTTACACCTCAACCAAAAATTTGTTTGTCTCATCCTTATATTATTATTTTCAGTATATATCGATTAAAATCGTTTTCATTAGTGCTCGGATCGGAAGACTTCTGTATGATTTGTAGTCCCCGCAAAAATATAGAGTCTATTTGGATTGGCGATAGAAAAAATAAATTAATTTCAATCTGGTAAAAATTAGATTGGATAATATGATTTATATTTGAATTGATTTTTATAAAAGTTAGTTGGTAAAGTAAAAAAGTTGTTTGAATTATCATTAAATAAGTAAGTTCAGTTTGTAAAATGACCAAAATGATTATGACTTTTATTAAATAATAAAAAATAATTAAAAATATAAACTTACAAAATACAATAATTTTAAATTATTATAATATGAAGAAGTTATATTTAATAAATAAAATATTTTTAAATTAGAAATAATAATAATGCGAAAATTTTTGAGCTAAATAATTTTACATAATTAATTAGATGATATACCCTTCACAATTTATGTAAATATAAAATAAAAATAATATTAAAAAGTAAACATATTATAAAAATTGTGAAAAATTATTTTTATTTAAGAAAGTATTAAAAATAAATAACTAAAAATTAATTGGGAAGCACAAATAATATATGAAGGGACGTATAAGAACAATATAAATATAAGGACACAAATATCCTTTAAAATTCCAAAAACCTACTTTTGCTTAAATCATAAGTTTTAGATATTTTTACAATTTTACTTAAAAAAATCAAATTTTAATCTATAAGTTAGATTAACTAAAAGTTATTACAAATAATTTTTAAATTTACAGACTGACTTATTATACACATAAACTACTCTTTCTCTCTTCAAGCGCTGCACCAAACAGGGCCACAGAGGGTCCAACTTTAATCGCTGCCTCTGGTCCCGCTTCTCCTCAGCCACACATCAATCTTACGAAGGGCCCAACTGTTTCTCGTACATTTTTATAAGTCTGTCCCGTGATTTTATTTTATTTTATTTTTCCTAAGTTCACAGTATCTTGACTAGACAAGTTAAAAAAAAAAAAATCCTCTTTTTTTTTTCTTAATAAGAACTGTATAATTAACTGGAAAAAAAATCAGAAAATACAAGACAGCCAACAATCCTAACCTTTATTAAAAAAAAAGTCTCTTGACTATAGAGACCTGTTTGGTTTCTTATTCTGAGAACCCTTTTTTTGTTTTGAGAAAAATAAAAAATACTTTGTTTGAAAAATGTTTTTTGTTACGTGTTTTGAAAGGAAAATTAATCTGGAAAACAAAAAATCAGAACATCTTTTTAGTGTTTTCTTATCTTTTTTTTTTTTGTGTCTACTGAATTAGGAAATAGGTGAAAAAATATTATGTTTTCATTAAGGAAAATTATATAAACATAGAAAATTACACCTGACAATTCATCACATGCTATTAAATATGGGAAGTCATTAGTTATATATAATGAATATAAAGATTTGCTCACATTGAAAACTATTAGTATTTTAAAGTATTATTGACAACAAATAATATTTCGCCCCTCGTTTAAGCAGTTTTTTTTGCCAATAAACAAAGTTAAGGTTTGACATGAAGAATAATTCGTAACCACAATTTACAAAACTAATAAATTAAAATAGCATGACACATCATTTCATCATAAATCTAAACGGACGTGCATTCAGGTGAGTTAATTTGAACACCAATCTTTTCAATAATAAAGCGAGAAAAAAACGCCAGGTTGGTGCTAATTTATTGTTCTGACATATTTTCCCTTTTTTTTTATTGTTCTGTAATTATAATTATAGTAAAAAGGGTCAATAATCTCCCAGCAGCAATTGGCTAATACGTTAGTGAATTTGAATTTGTGCGGATACCAAAAAGAAAAATTCTTGAGAAAGTGATGCAGAACGGAGAATATATAAGGGAAAGAGGATAAGAGGAAAGAGAAGAGGAGGAGAAGAGGGAAGAGAAGAGGAGGAGGAGAGGGAATATATAGAGAAAGGAGATCAAAGAGAAAACTTATAACATGTGTTAAAAGTTAAAACCTATTCATAAACCCTTAACTCTTAGTTTCTAACCCTAAAGGTTAAAAATAAATATTTTAAAAACCTAAAAATTAAATGCAAATATTCTAAAAAAAATTTAAAAGAAAAAAAATAATTGTTATGATCTTAAAAAGATAAAATAACTGAAAGACTATGAGAATTAACACAAAATATATTCAAACATTCTTCTTCTTCCTTTTCTTGGTTCCATATATAGGAAAGATATCTCCAATTCATTTTGACAAGGCTTGAATTAATGTATTTCAAATAGCTAGACGAAGAAAAAGAATGCAATTAAACTAATTAAGGCAAATATTTTTTAAAAAAAGTACATATAAAATGCATGCTTATGCATGGCACATTCCTTCAAAGGAAAAGCGAAATGAAATAAAATAAACAAAACACTACTTTATTGTCTCTTTATTTTTAATCAATATTTAGATCAACTCTTAAATATTTCTAACTCCGTATAACCAGGAGATCACAGCTCAGGAAAACAGGGTGCTGATGAGGGCAAACCATTGACCAACTCGAGAATGGCTTCCCAATCTTGCGTCTCTTCCTCAAAGTTGTCGCTTCCTCCATTCCCGACACTTAAGACTCCAAACACATCGTCATGATGAAGACCTTCCTGCACGGAATTACAGTCATACCCTGTTGATCTGAATGTTTCCACCGCCGCCATAATTTCGCCGCCTGTGACAGGGGAAGACGAGGAAGGAAGTGAACTTTGACTGATCAGCCCAAAGGTAGTATTACCATCAGTACGTTTGGAGTTGGTAGGGACGGAGTCCGGGAAGCTCAAAGTGGAAGCCGGCGACTCGAGGTCGTCGGCGGCGAGCATCATGGCGTACATGCTATGCATTATGGGAGTGTTCTCAGTTGACGTGGACGACCAAGAATTCTGCCATGCCTTGAGCACGTCGAGGCACGGAGGTGGCGATGGACGAGGTGTGACCTTGTTGAGCACGAGCCGAGTGAGTGGAGGCTGGGAGGAGGAGGAGGAGGAGGAGGAGGAGCCGAGCTGGTTCTGGAGCTGCATCTTTGGGTGTTCTTTGATTTGCTGCTTCGCTTCAGCCTCGAGCCGAGCAGTCTCCCACTGAGCCATATGGCTGAGGTTGGCAGCGTCCTTGACGACGTCGTGCAGGGGCTTGTGGGTGGTTGGGTTTACACCCATTCTGGTGAGCCTCCTTTTCAGGCAGGTGTTCCAGTAATTCTTGATCTCATTGTCTGTTCTCTTTGGCAAGTGATGTGCTATCACCGACCATCTTGTAGGTGCATTTATAAAATAGTATTCAGGAATCAAATAATTGAACTTTTTTGAGAAAATTAAAGTGGGACCGCTGTGGAACTTACTTGTTTCCGAGAAGAGCATGAAGTTGAATAATGGTTTGATCTTCCTGCGAGCTGAAGTTGCCTCGTTTGATGTCAGGTCTTAGATAATTAATCCATCTCAGTCTGCAGCTCTTCCCACACCTCCGGAGTCCTTTTCCTCATCAAAACTTAAAACGCATCACTCATCTTCCTTAATTACCAGATAAGTCTCTAATCATCTACTTGCTATTATCATCTACCATTTCATTATGAAAATAAGCCACCAGAAATTGCGAGGTGGTTTTTCAGAACAGATTAATCAGAGTATCTCTGTGCATGTGGGGAAGAAGAGGGAGTAGAGTAATTACCAGCTTTTGCAGGTAAGGAAGACCAGCTCCCATGGCCGTGTAGTTGAATGTAGGACATGAGCTTCTGATCTTCTTCAGGAGTCCATGGCCCTTTCTTCAACTCTGCTAGTTTCTCGCTGCACGACGATGGCTTCACCATTTTAGTTCCCTGGAAATGCCAGAAGAAACAAGAACTATGTATAGGGAGTCAGGGACAAGAGAGAGAGAGAGAGAGAGAGAGCTATGAAACAGATATTAAGCGAGGTGAGAGGAAGCCTCTGATCGGGGAGATTAGGGTTAGTTATACATATACATATATATATGTGTGTGTGTGTGTGTTCTCCGGATCGGAATATGATGTGGAGAGAGAGAAATAACTAGACTGTCAGAAGAGAGAAAAGGGTAATCAGGAAATTGCCAAAGAGAAAGAGAGAGAAAGAAGGGGTTAACTGGACGGAGAGAAGAGGCGAGAGATCTATATGGAGTTAAACTATAGGTAAATATATAAATAATGATGAAGCCGGTTAAAAAAGAAGCAAGTGAGAGAATCAAGAATGCAAGTCATAAAAAGTGTACGCATATATCTACTTCAGATCTATGGCGTACAGTTTCAAATAAAAATATATAGATCAAAATAAACAAAGGGAAAGAGACATTTGACGTGAAAGACACTCATTCCGGTTGATATATCTATAATATGATTTTGTCACTTTCACTTCATTTCGCCTCTTACTCAGAAGGTTTGGTGCCCCATTAAATTTTTGAATGTGGCTATTTAAAAAAATGTTCGATTACCCCAAAAAAAAAAGTTCAAAGGAAAACAAAAACACGTGGTCGAATCGATCGAAATACTCACATCTGTACTGCAAAACAGAAAAGTTGTTATTGGATCAAGTATATGGAAGAGAAGATATATATATTTTTTACGTCTTTTGTTTTTAAATAAGGAACCAAGTAAGACGTAAAAGCTAAATATTTTAGGGAAAATGACAAAAAAAAGTTGAAAATTGCAATACTTTAATTCATGCACCTAAGACTTTAAAATCTCATAGGAGAAAGTGATACCTAATTTGGTATTTTGTAAATGTAGTTAAATGACAAAAATAACCTTATATCAAAAAGTTATTATGAAATTGTGAATTGATAATAACAAGTATTTAACAGCAAATGACAAGAAATGTATAGCCAATGATAAGTTATTTATCAATAAGTTGTAAACTAATGGTGACAAGTATTGAACAACCAATAATAAAAAATATAATAGAAATGATAAGTTTGATAGCTTTTTTTTTCAAAAAAAAATTGGTATGAAGGTGTTTTACTCATTTGATTATATTTACAAAATACCAAATCAGCTACCACTTTTTCCTCTAAAATTTTGAAATCTTAGATGCCTAAATTAGAATATTACAATTTTTAACTTCTTTTTATATCATTTTTCCAATATTTTATGCCATCTCCGGACATAAATATAGAAGTTAGTAGAGGGATTTACTTTGGCACTCTAGCTAAGGTCTAAATCTATTTTGTCTTCCAAATAATTCTTTTTCCTATATGATGGCACAAATATATATTAAGGGAGTTTTTCATTTAAAGAGTTTTATTTTATGTAAATGATTGAAATGGGTAATTTTAGTGGGATAAAACTTGTTGTTATTGATTAAAATGGGTAATTTAGAAAAATTAACATATATTATTTACAAGTAACTGCCTAAACTAATTTTTTTTTTTTTAAAATTAATTATTTGGCTTCTACATTACCATCTTTTGATTTGGTCCAGTGATAATATAAAATTTTTTTTAGTATTATTACGAGTCCCTTGTAAAACGTTATAAGGATATACAAGCACTCTGACCGTCAGTAACTTTTTTTTTTTTTTTAAAGCATCTACCACACTTATCACTCGATTTTTACGGCATAAAATGAACAATATGAAGGGCTATAGCATTATCATCACTTGAAGCCTTGTTTTATCTTTTTTGCTTTTGTTTTATTAATAGAGATAACCCTTTGAAGTATAATAGTATTATTATATGCTATAACTAATCCAAATATTTGTCCCCCTTAATTTCTTAATTATTTTCAACTGGATACTCCTGTACATATTGGGAAAACCCGTACATAAATTGGGAGTGAGAATTAATGTACTGATGTCAAACATGTGATTGTCGTAAAAAATATTTACTTCTGTGTTTGCTTTTACCATCACATTTACAGAGCTTCAGTTCAATAAGTGAGTAGGTAAAAGCACGCAATAAATAAAACATGCCAGGAGAATAATTAAGAATTGAGAAAACACGTTCACAAAATTCGGAAAAAGCAAACACTACTTCATAAAATTAGCTTTATCTCATAATTATACTACCTCCGACATTTAATGTAAGAGCTAGTTTGACTTTCAATTTGGTTTTAAATATAGTATCCCAATTTACTCTGTCTCTTATATTTATCCAATTTTTTTCCCAAAATAGTCCTTGTAGTAATTGCACGTATTAAATCTATCATCACATAGGTGTTTTAGCTAATACATATGATTAGCAAGGGTACTTTAGGGAAGACAACACCTATTTATTACAAATAATTAACTTAATTAATTTTTTAATCTACTCAAATTAATCAACTAGCTCTTATATTAATTACTAGAAGTAGTATTACCCATGCATGGGACCTTCCAATCGTGATGACCAATAATTAATACTACCTTAGGTCTTAATATAAGGGCTAATTGACTAATTTGATGAATAGATTAAGGAAATAAGTTAAATTAGTTATTTATAATAAATATATGCTATTTTTTCTAAAATATCTTTGTTAATCAAGTCTATTGGCTAGGACTACCATTATTAGAATGACAACTTTAGGGGAAAAAATAGATAAATATGAGAGACAAAATGAATTGGGGTCTTATATTTAGAATCACAATAAAAGTCAAATAATGTCTTATATTAAGGACAGGAGGTAGTACCTTCCAAAATTAATGTTCAGTTCATCGGACTTCTGGCAATGCACCAAAATGTTATTATTTGATCCATTTTAGACGCTGTAAATCCAAATAAAAGATACTCCTCCGATCCTTAATATAAGACCTAATTGTTGAGTTGGTCTTGGTCCTAAATATAAGACTCATTTCTCATATTTATCAATTTTCTCTAAATTACCCCTATGGATACTCCCTCAACCATAATCAAGTAGAAGAGAGAGGGGGTATTAAGAAAGATGATTATGGTGTTTTAGGAAAAATGTGTCACATTTCTTATAATTAACTAATTTACCTAACTTTTTTAATCTAATCAAATTAGTTACATGGGTATTATATTAAAGATCGGAAGAGTATTTATACATATGTTTAACAGGTTGTTATTATTATTACTACTACTCTTGGTCTTGATGGTGGTTGGTTGCCAAATAACTTTAATGTTCTATTTCGTACAAGAAAACATGACTATATGCTTTTTGTAAAAAAGAAAAAGAAAAAGAAAAGAACATTTGGAGTTAGGCATTCCATTAATAATTAACCAGTTGCTTCGAAAGGAAGATAACATACATGTTTGGTTTCTGTCCTTCCAGGGACTCTAGGGTTTCCCCCCTATTGAGAGAGCTGGGGTTTTAGGCAGCGAGTCCGTCAGCGAAACCCTTACTCTCCACAGCCGCCATCCGGGGGGCAGAGTGAAGAAGGGGGAGGAGCTAGCTGCCGCACTCTGAGTTTGAAAAGAAAGGCGAAATATCGGCAATTCAAGTGAAGGGGGGCTGGAGATGGGTACTCAATATCCAAACTTGGGGATTGACAAATCCAAGTGCGTACGATGTTGGTGTCAGAGAGGCTGTTATTATTAAAATTTCAGAAATTTATTTAAATTTTAACCCATTTTTACAAGATATTTTTTTGGATTAATATAATTTTTGGTTCTTAAAATTTGAACCTATTTTGGTTTTGGTTTTTCAAATTTCATACCCATAGTTTATTTTAGTTTTTAAAATTTAATTTGTCTTAAAATGTCAGTCTCTAAAAGTATAATAGTGTTAAAATCTGTTTAAATGTCATCAATGATGTTAAAAGGAGGAAAGTTGACTTACTAGATGGCTCCTAAATAGATCTAGTGTAGATAACATAGTGTAGATAACAGAGCGCAATGCAGTAAACAACTCTTGAAACAAATAGTGAGGAAGAAAAAATAAAAAGTTAAAAAGCCGTGTTTTGAGGAGCTTTTTTTTTCCCACCTTTTTGTCATTCACACAAGATTCAACTAAGTGTTATTTGTGAGTCTACATTACCATTTCAGTGTTGTTTATGACAAATTTTAACACTGTTACACCCTGAAACTAACTTTTTAAGATGGATTAAATTTCAGGGACTAAAACTATAGATTTAAAATTTAAGAGACTAAAATTAAAATAGGTCCAAATTTCAGAAATCAAAAATTATACTAACCTTTTTTTTTTTTCATTTCAAACTTTTGATTTGCCATCTTTCACTATTGAAGTAATGCGCAGTGTTTTTCCTACTTATGTATTAGTGAGTCAAATTGGGCATTTACCACTCATCTTCTGTTTTTTCCGACCTGTGTTCTTCAAATTTTATCACAACTTCATTTTTCAAAAGTTGAAGAATTTTTACCTCTTAGATTACTAGTAAGATTTGAAGAATTGTATTGTGAAAGTGGTACAAGGAGTTGTAATTGAATTATTTGTTAAAGCAGTATGATTTAAACAAAACGAAAAGAAAGCATTATTTAAACAATTTAAAAATTAGAAGGACAGTTAATTGGTGTTTTCTTTAATAACAATTTTTGTGTAAAATTATATTTATGAGAAACTGAAAAAACATTCTCCACATACACAGGGAAAATTTTTATTTATTATTTTTAGCAATTTTTTATTCTTCCAAATACAAGTCTGGAAATAAAGAGATTGTCCTCTACATGAGTTGTAATGAAATTATTCGGAAGCCACAACTCAGCAACTTGTTAGGAGTAGGTTTTGGCTTGTCCCTTTCTACGTTATTAGTAAAGCCCCGTTTCACCCCTCTCCCTAACGGTCGAGCTCAACAGATCCACTCCCAGTAAGAAAACAGATGCGCGAAGCTAACACGCAACGGCTTTCGCGCCCTTGCCTGTTCGTCTAAGGAAAAATCATATTATAAGTAACTATAGTTTTTTTTT